TTTCTTGTCCTTTACATATAAGACTTTGGTTGTGTTACCGTGTTCGCTTCGTTCGGCTACTACAGTTCATGGATACCCGCAGCTGTCTTCAAACCAAAAGGCTACCTTCAGACGTGTACTCCTCTCTAACGACTTAGATAAAATGCCTCACAACCTTTAATTATACTGGCTTTCTGTACCGTTCAGAGAGGAAAACCTACAGAAATAGCTAGGAGAGTAATACCTACACAAGCAGACTCCTTAGCTGAAAAAGGGAGATAAACAGGGGATATAGAAAGGTATGGCAGGCTCTTCTTAGTCAGCAGATTCAGCTACATATAGTGATAGGTGCCGTCTATTCTTAGTTACTCTTATCAGCCTCTTTTTACGATATCTGCTGCCGGTAAGCAAAAACGATAAATCACCACTTTTCGCATCCGAACATTGCTGCCATAATGCAGAAAGCGAGAGATCAACCCACTATGAACATTGAAGTCTTAGCACACGTCAGCTCAAAGTGATTTCCCTATCTCGTATTGTTGCACCGTTTGTCTTTGACTGACATTATGGATATGGAAATTGGTGAAGAGACTAATGATCAGAGGAATCAAATGTATGGTAAAATTACGAAAGGAACTGTATCCCCAAATAGTCGTCACTGCTGGTGAAAAAGAGCTGTTTTTTTTCTCGAACAAGATATAATGAAACGCGGCCAGAGTTTTTGAAACTATCTCATGAGAATAGAGCTAGTGTTGATCCTTCACCTAGCTGAATATGATACAAAGCGTTTAATTGTTTAAAGCGTTACTATTACGTGGGCTAATCCACGCTGTAGCTAGGTACATCACATTTGCTGCACGAACGGGTTGACTTGACTGGGGATGGACCAGTTCTCACTGTTGAACATAATCCCCCACCCCAGATTGAGTCATCGTTGCCATTCCTGGCAGGTGGGTGGAAAACTGTAGTTTTTTATTTTTAGTTCCTATCAAGAAGATGTTGCTTTTCATCTCCGGTTTAGCTTGTCTTCAAGAACACCAGCTTTAAATAACAGCTTAATGCTACTGTATTTCGTATGGTAATTATAGAGAACCGGAGATCCTTTTTTATTGGTAACGAGGCACCCTATCTTAGTCCTCATGTGTTATATTTTTTACGTGACAAGTCGTGACTCGTTTACATTTTGATTCATAATCGAGAACAGATGTAGGTGTTAATGGATTACAGCATCCACTTACCATCAGATGGATTGTGTGCTCTTTTCTTACTCTTACTTTTTATTAAAAAAGGGTTAAAATATTTTATTCTGCGATGTCAAACCTTTAAAAATTTCAACATATTTATAAGTGGTTACACATATTGTCAACGATCCTTTAAGTACTGTCTGAAAGGATTTTTTTATGTCACAAAGAACACTCTTAAAGATTCGAAAACAACCGCGGATTACAACTTTTGTGTACACAGCACATTCATCATTTCCCACATAAATATTTATATAAAGATTTCTGAATCTTGTAGTTTATTTCTGCAAAGACATAAAATAAAAATGAGTAATGGCCGAAGCAAAATAAGAATCATACAACATAACCGTTACCGTTACAGCCTAAAAAAAGTACACTGCTGAACATTGGTCTCCTCTGCTATCTACTGTCAGGGGTAACAAAGCATCTGCATTTTGATTCATAATCGTAGACAGATGTAAATGTCTATGGGCCACAGCATCTACTTATCAGGTAGACAGTGTGCTCGTTTGTCACTTTCAATACTAAAATATTTAAAAAAAATGAAGACTGACTAATAGGGAAAATATTCGCTATAGTTGCCACGCTTTGCAAGCGAGTTGTCAACCGCATTTTTGATTTATAGTTGTTATTATAAAAATGCTGCAGACCATCTCTTGGCTTGTTTCTCTCTTTAGCTTCTTGGTAGTGGATATTCTTACATCTCCACAACACAGGCACATAACCATGCCGCTGCATGGTCACGGTCATGCGATATTTCGAAAACAAAATTAGTATTTATTTAAAATTAAAGCTACAGTCGATATACATAGGCTAAAGGAACGACCAGGCTGCCGCGCTTCTCCTGTTTCGGCGAACTTTATAATAATAATAATAACAATAACCATTTATTTCGGACCGTGATCCATATGGAAAATAATTTATAAACTAAAATATATTAGTAACAACATTAACTAATGTTAATTATTAATGTTAAAATTATGTTAAAAAATAACTAAATTATCCATAAAATCCATAAACACTCACGCCTGTCACCCAGAGGGGTAGGCAGAGACTACAGATTTCCATTTGGCACGATCCTGACACACCTCTCTCGCCTCCTTCACATCCATACACCTACGCATACATGCTCGTCGGTTAAGAGTACTCCTAATTTGGCCCGTTTCCAATAAATCGCCAATTTGGTCGATAAATTTTCGCCTAGGACGTCCATTTCCGACTCTGTTATTCACTTCTGCAAAATAAATTTTCTTTGTCACTCTTTCCTCATTCATTCTTTCCACATGACCAAACCACCGAAGCATTCCTTTCTTAATCCTGGTCACAACATCATCTTGCAAACCACACTCTTCTCTTATTACACAATTTCTTACCCTGTCATTCAGATTCAGCCCTAACATACTCCTTAACGACCGCATTTCTACTGCGTTTATTCTACTCTCGTGCTTCTTCTGCCACACCCAAATTTTACTACCATACGTTAAAGTAGGGACCAACACAGCATTGTGAATTGCCATACGTGCCTTTTTTGACACATTTTGACTCTTCACAATAGAGTGCAAGGCCCCATTTACTCTATTTCCCGCATTCACTCGTCGTTCTATATCCTTATCATATCTCCCATCCCTGCTAAATACTAATTACTACAAATACTATACTATACTATAATAACTAAATTAGTAAGTTAGTAAGTAATTTATAAACTAAAATATGTTAGTAAAAACATTAACTAATTACAACTAACTAATTCATATACCTCTGCCCACTTTCCACTGCACCCGACCCGCACCAGCAGCACGTATACGTGTCCAGTGCTGCAGGAACGGGCAGTCTGGTTTCTCCACAATAACTCTTAGAATGCTGTTGGTGCTCCCGCGTATCAGGGATGCTGTTTTTTTCTCAGAATAGCTTGAAAGCTGCCCGTTACCGTTTTAACAAACATGCCTGATGTACTACGGAATCGTTGAAGCCCCAAAAGCACCCTTAATGCATTATTATATTGCATACGAAAAAACATTGCAGGCCCGCTGCGTATATCTGACCCACAGGCTGCATGTGTAGAATGATTGGCAAAAGGCCTTGAAAAGAGTAATTTTCACTTCTTTCGTACAACGTGCAAACCTGCGGGCATATTGGTTTACTCATGATATTTTCATTTACTGTGGGACAAGTAATAAATTAGCATTTTAAATATCAATTTACATTTTCTTTGGTGCCGCCTGGGATTGAACCAGAGTAGCTCGGATTCGATCCCTTAGATAGATTCAAATTAATTTTATTTAATGAAAGCACTTTAAAATATTTCGAAGACATATGTAGTCCACCAACACGCATGAAGATGCGTAACAGACTTTTTCTTGCCCTAAAATTAAGCCCAAGCTCTCTTTGAAATGAGAGGAGGCGTGTGACAAGGCGAAGATCTATGAATAACAACAAAAGACACAACAACGGAAGGGCCGTAGACGTAGGCAGCATTTTATTTATTGCAACAAACTTATAAAGTGTGCTTATTTTGCTCTGAATATAATTTAAGACGAAATTAATCTTAATTTTTTTGATGAATATTCAAAAAGGGAATTTTGGTTAAGTGGCGCCCCAGGCCCAGAATGTTTTAAACTTAAGTATTTTATGAACTTATATATATAAAAAGAATTCTGCTGGTAAAATAACTAGCTTAAGAGACATAAAAAAGTTAAATGCCTTTCATTTCTGCCCTCTTAAAATTAAGTTTACATCACCGAGATGGCATTATAATCATAACGTTAACACAGAATGTATGAGGAAGAAGAACATTTTTTTTATAGAATAAGTGTTACCAAACGAGCAAAAAGTCCACCTGATGGTAAGTGGATGCTGTGGCCCAAGGATACCTACATCTGTCCTTGATTAAGAAATATAATACGGATGCTTTGTCAACCATGAGGACTAAAATGAAATGCTTTGTTTCCAGTAAAGAGGGCTTTCGGTTCTCTACCCACACCATACGAAAAACGTGGCTCTACCACGTAAAACTACGTTTTAATCATATGGTAGAAGAGTTACATCACGGGTTGACCATTACGTACGTTAGTGTATCTGTATTTTTACGTTCTTTTTGTTGTTTTTACGTTCATTATATTCAGCGTTGTTCATAGTTCACGTTTTTTTTTTGGAGGAGTATAAAATTGCGTCAGGGTAGCTATGATGTGGAATACGATATCTAGATGGCTTGCAGAGTTAGAACATGTAAGCAGGCTGACTTGGAATGGCAGGATTGTTTGTGATGAAAGGACAAAAAACGATGGCAAGATGGTTTCCATGACTAAGGAAACGATGTATAAATATTATGTTTGGCTGGTGAAACGATAACTGGATGGCTTGGGTGGCTAGCAAAATGATGCTGGATGACTTTCATGTTTAGGTTAATGGGGTTTGGGGGGAAAACCATAGCTGGATATCATCTATCGATTGAATGTAATGGATTTGCTAAAGGTGAAGTTCGAAACAAAATGGAGGAGATAGCAGGAAGGCATCTTGGCTTGAGCTAAAACAAACACTAACAACAAAACAAAGAAGGCAAAATAGTTACTCATTAACTAGCACACAGCAGCATATATTATGCAAACATTTAAAATAAGATAGCATATTGTTAAATTTATCGTAAATAACGACTGGTAGTTGCATATGCTCAAACGAGTGTAGGTAATTATAAATACCTCCGTGCTTATACAAGTGGCTTTTATGCGACAAACAATATAACAGAAAAAATTATACTCAAAGAACTGTAAAGTATGTAAAGAAATGTTAAGTTTAACACTACAACGCCCCGGCACCGGACTAGCACCAGATGAGCACCGCCTCAACTCTCGCCGTCTACGTGTCGCTAACTCAGCGTCGGTCAGGCGTCCACTTTTCGTCCGCGCAGCGTCAACGATTGGGCTGCACGGCCGGCGTGTGGCAAGCACGGGAGCAATGCGGGCACAGCAAGCAGCCCGTAGTCCCTCAACAAGGCGCAGGCAGTTTGGAGTAGATGACGTAAGGCCAGTGTACAGTAACCGAGGCATACCCTAAATTTACTTTAATTTAAAAAAAAAATACCTTAATATCACCATTGAAAGCTTTTCAACATTTCAGGTTAAGGTGAGTTGATGCCGTACTGCTGAAGTGTGCGATGACTTAAGAGTGACAAACGACCGCACAGTCCATCTGATAATAAGTGGATGGTGTGACCCGTAGATATCTACATCCATCCTCTATTAGGAATCAGTATGCAGATGCGCTGTACCCCTATGTACAAGTCTGAAATGCCTCTTAACCAATAGAAAGGGTCTCTTGTTCTCTACACTCACCATACGAAAGCTGTTTGAGTCTACCCGTTCGTGATAAAACCATAATATAGCTGCATGCGAGGGAACTATGGTAATTATTCACTTTATGCGGTGGAGAGGCTTTTGTTCAGCAGTGGACTATGAAAGAATATAAAAATTATTGAATATAAGTAAACAATTTAAAACACACAATAACAGCGCTGCTATAATATTGTTGTAGCTTATTAGTACAGTGAAAATAGAAATTAATTTTGTACTACATTTTCGATCCAATTTTTATTTTTTATAAGGTTTAAATCACTAACTGAGCATAAAATCACAAAATGCTGACAGATCCAGGTGGCGCTTCAAGCGCCATCTTGAAAAAACGTTTTCAGCCGATATCTCGGAAACTGTGCTCTTTAAGGCAAAAGTTATAGAGACCATTATTGTAGAAAATAAAATTTCGCATATTTTTTTTTCCAGTAAACTTTTTGTAAAACTTTACCATTTACGAATTATGGCCCATTTAATGAACCAGTTTTTCTATCGCGGCCAATAACTCCTGAAATATTAAATTAATAAATAAAATACAAAAATCCATTTTTATATTCTATCAGCATTTTGTGATTTTATGCTCAGTAAATGATCCTCAACCTTATTTTTATAAGGTTGAGGATCACTTATCCTCAAGCTTATAAAAATTAAAATTGGATCGGAAATTTTCTTCAATAAACCAAAAAAACGTCTACTATTACTGGCCTATATGTTATGTCTAAAACGTATCTCGCTGCATCAATTCAAATATAGATTATTTAACATATGTTTTGTGCCTTACGAGTATTATGCCATATGACATTTTAATTTCTGGCGTCTAAAAATAAGAAGATTTCATTTCATTTCATTGTTTTAACCGATAACTTACTTGACTATTAGAATCTTATAATATGCCTGTTATTGAAATCGCAAATTATTAGCAAATTTGTGGCGAGCTTACGCTATTGCTCCACTATCATTGCGTATTATTGATTGTAACTGTAACGTGATAAAAATAACGATTATTATGATAATCTTTATTCCAAAGAGGATTTATTAGCAGCATTTATTATTTATATAGTATCATTACTTTGTTATGTTCATAATAAAAATTTCTTAGTGACTAATAATATTTTAATCCAATTACCTAAATTCCGGTTGCAGTGTAAGACACAATCATAGACGAAACATAGCTCTTGCTCAGCCATATAAGGCAAAGTGCAATTCCTTTTGAGAACAATGAAAGCAAACGCATAACTCGAAACAGTATAAAGCTATTAATTAAAGCTGACCGTATTTAACTTTGTTTGCAAATCCTTAAAATGTATGTGTGATAAATTGGCAATGACATGCAGTTTGTTAGATGTTTGATAACGTACCGAATACAGAAGGCAAGAGTGAATAGGCTTTTGTTACGTTAAGGCAGTGCAATTTACCATGAAAAGCTTTATCACAGCTTACTACCAGGTGGGATTTTAGTCAAGCACTGTTCTCAGTCAGGTCAAAAGTTCTGTCAAAAACTCTTTATAAAATTAATGATACACTTTTTGATAATTATATAGAAGTTATATATAAAATAAAAGTTAATTTACTTTAGAATACAATTTTATTTACCTTATTCAAAATGACCTTCGCTATTTTGGATACATGTCCTTAATTGACGCGGCCAATCACCAATCGCAGCACGCACCACACTCATATCTATTTCTGCAGCTGCTTTATCGAAAGATGCTCGGAGAGATTCCAAATTCTGACGAAGTATAGCGCAAACTTTCTCCTTCAAATATTGCCATATCTTATAATTCAGTGGGCTTAAATTTGAACTAGAAGAGGGCCAGTCTTCATGTACGATAAAGGTAATTCCATGGGCAGTCAACCAGTTTTGCGTGTTTCGTGCCCTATGAGCTGGTTCAGAGTCCTGTTGGAATATCCAATGTCTGTTTTTGAACATTGTTTGAAAAATAGGTTGTACTATGTTTGTTAGGACGTTATTTTTGTACACCTCCGCACTGGTTTTACCCCTTTTTCACAGAAAAACACCTCAGTTAAGTCTGAATATGAGACTTCAAGCAGAACAATGAGTGACGAAGGATAATTTGCTAGTTGAACTCACGGAATACGCGTGCTGGCTTCTTCACTGCTGTGAGCATACACCTTATCATTTTTTTATTATAAATATGTTCAATGTTAAAAATATTTTCATCTGACAACAAAATTTCGCGCTATTTTTTTCCCTCGTACCGCCGTAACAAAGCGCGGGATCTATCCAGCTAAATTTTTTTCAAACACTCGTTCAAAAAATGTCCGATCTTCTTACGATAATCTCGTAGTCCTAGGTCTACATTGATCACTTTTTTGACCGTGGTTCTGCTTAGGCCCTTCTGAAGAGCGATGATTTTTTGTTTACGAATAGGATTTTGTTGGATTCGTGCCTTCACTGCTTTGATGATCGCGGGTGTCCTAACTGTACGAGGTCGGCCGGTCCCCTTACGATCTTCGAAGCTTGAATCTTCAGTTAATCGTTTGAAAGTGCGATAAACAAATAGTAGGGCTATTTTCAATTTTTGTAGAATATTGAAAATCTCTTTTGGCGAGTAACCATAGCAGTGCAACGCGATAACCGCTACTCTATCTTCTTTCTTCGACCACTCCATATTTGAAAATGAATGAAAATTAACATTGAGCTATTATGTACTACGTACCAGAGGGGACACTGTATTCAGCTACTTATACTTAGTACGTCTGTCAAGCATCAAAACAGTCAAAATGTCAATGTCAGACTTGAATTGATTCACGTTTACCGACTTACGCGCCGTTTCTCTGTATATGGTATATGTACGCTTTTCCTTCGTATTTGTGTTTTATCGTATTTTACTTTTATTTAATAAGTGGTGTTGGGAGTAGTGGTGTTGGGATTAGTGGTGACGGAGTTAGTGCATGCAATTGAGGGAGGGCGGGAGGTGCTCTTCAATCCAGGTAAGACAAATCATTGTATTTGTTTGGCGAAAGGTTGCGATGATATTTATATTTTAATTTTTTATTATAATGGATTTCCGCAAAGTAACGCCTGATTCTATCAATTGTCTCGTTTCCAGTAAAAAAAGGGTCTCCAAATCTCTACACTTACCATACAAAATACAACAGTATTAGGCTGCTATTTTACGGTTGTATTCTGTGAGAGCGTGTTCTTTCCCCGGTCAAGCCGACCCATTCATGCTACAACCATAACATAGCTGCAGCACGGCTCTACCACGGAAAAAAACGTAAGGTATCACAAGAGATAATTATGCCAAATATATCCTATGACTTCCAATATAAGGCGGTATAACCATTTCGCTATTGCCGGGCGTAAAATATGCAAGCAGGTAACGTGAAAGCAGCGTCCAAGTTACAAAATGTCTGGTACTGCGGATCGTCAATCTATCAAGCGTGACGATTGGGGCAAATCTTTTATAGAACGTGAGAGGTCCATAATCAGCAGTGGTTTTTACGGGCTATTGAAGAAAAAATATTAGAAAACGTTTCCAATAATAGTTTCCAATTATTTTTCAAATAACCCTAGACTGTCGATGAAAATTTAAATATTAACCTATAATAGTTTAAAAGTAGAATAAATATTATGCACTTGATTGTGCCAGTTTTACATTTACATCAGGCGACCTAACATCCAAAGCAATTAATGTCTGGCCCACGCTTTCATGCCCAGTTAGATCAGTTCTCTGTTATTGAGGACCTTTAAAGGTCGATTCCAAAAGCAGTCATTACCTTTACGAGCATTGAAATCAAGCAGCAGTAAGTGTTCTGCTGCGTTCCGGTCTGAAGGGTGTAGAAAGCCAGTATAATTTCAGACTATGAGACGTTTCTATGTAAGTCCTCAGAGGTGACAACGAATCTCTAGTCTTCTTTGTTTGAAGTAGATGCAGATACCAAACCATATATGTGCGTTCGCTTGAAACTTCAATTGTATAAAAAAGCTTTATAAGCACATCAATCACTTTAAGGAGACAACACTTTGAGGGTTACCGTTACAAAGTTATAGCCTATGAAAAGCCCACTGTTGAATTAGACCTCCCCCATAGATTTCTTCGTGGTTGTCAAGCTAGGCAGGCGGATTGGAAGCCGTAGTTTTTTTTTTACATATAAGTTGTTACAAGAAAAGCGCTGCTATCCATATTCTGAATTGTTTCTCTCTGTCACCTCTTACGACTCCCACGGAATGGAATGGGGTGGTAGACATTTTTACAACACCACTACACGGTAAAAGGCAATAGTAAAATATTGTGATATTGCAAGAAACCAAAACATAAAGAAAGTAAAAAAAAATGCCCAAAATATAAAATTTATTTTAATTTAAACTTCCAAGTATTATTTCAGTTTAAATTGAACAACTCAACAAACGGCTATATTATACTTGGTAGAGCCTCGCTGCGTCTATATTATCATGGTAGCGCGAAGGGATGGTCTCGACCGAGATATGACCATTCTCTCACAGAATACCAGTGTAGATTAGCCTAATGCTGCTGTGATTCGTATAGTGAGTGTTAAAAACTGGCTGACAATGCATCTGCATTTTGATTCTTAATCGAAGAGAGTTGTAGATGTTCAGAAGCAACAGCAACCACTTACTATTATCATGATCTTCCAGGGACAGTGTGCTCCTTTGTTACAATTGTTCTATAAAATGGCGGCGATATCATAGGTAGCGACTATACCTAATATTATTACATA